CTTTTTGAACTTCTAGTTCTTTCTTTTGTGATTGAAAGTTGACGGTGGTCAGTATCAGATTCAGCTGGTTTTTAGCAAGTCTTAAATGAATGGGCACTGATTGCTCACTAGTCTCTGCTTTGTGTCCTCAACTGAAACTTCAGGATAATAGGAAGTCCCAATTAACTTCCTGCTAAGCAAAGTTGTGTGGTAATTTGCTGAATGTCATCTTCCCCACCAGACTTTTCATCTCTAAGGGCTGGGTTTCCTCTCCAGTGAATACAAACAAGGCCCGAGCATTCAGAATCTGGCATATAACAGCAGCTCAGTAAATATGAAAGCAGGCAATGAGTAAAAGAACAGGATGAAAGAGGGAGAAGTCCAGATTTATGCCACTGAAACGCCTTGGTTTGGAAGGGGTACCAGGGGAGGCATCATTTGAGCCAGGGTAGATAAGGCAAAGATCCCCAAAGCCTGATTGCCCATCCGAATTCCCTGTAGAGCTTTTGGAAAAGACTCACTCCTAGACCTGACCCACTGGGGTGCTGATTCAATAGACCTAGCTGAGAATCAGTGAGCTCAAGTGCAGGAGAAAGTCCAAATAATGTGCCAGGAGGGCTAAGGGAAGGCAAGGCTGTACCTGGTTGAGAGTAACAGGGAGACTTTCTGGCAAAAGCAGTGCATAAGGACAAATGAGAACAGGTAAAGAAAAGGGCATGGGAGGGCCGTGGCTAGCAGGGACTCGCAAGCCAGAGGAGGTGACATGAGCAAGACACTGCGGCTGGAAAGAGAAGATTAGATGCCTGACAGAAGCCAGTGCTGAGAGGAGGAGGAGGAGGAGGACTCAGGTACGCAACCCACCTGACTGACTACAAGCTGTTTGGATGCAGGAACCTGGACTTATAAAATTAGCAACACCCCAGGGAAGTTTAGGAAATAGTGGTTGGGTGGGCCAGCTATGGATTAGAATGAATAAATTTGTCATCTATAAAAGGAGGATGATAAAATTACTCCCCTCAAGTGGTTATGGTGAGGATTAAAGGAGATGATAATATTTAGGCACATATATTCATTATATATCAGCTAGAACCTTCTTTTTTGACTAATTATAGTACCTAGAATTGGCATGTGTGTGTGTGTGTGTGTGTGTGTGTGT